TAGGTTATGTTTGTTATGTTGATGAGGCAGGAGTCAATCTATAGGATTAGGTGGTATTTTGAGTCAATCTCTTTTGAGATACAAAAGAGACAAAAAAAACAAGCACAGATAGATGGACCAACTGCTACCAAGAAAGAAGAGCCTGGGAACTTCCTAGACCCAGGGGAAGAGGATGCCAAAACACATGGAGTTCTCTAAGGAACACAGGGCCCACAGATGTTGAATGGAGACAAGGACTTTCCTTCCCCTACAGCTGGCATCCTGAATTTGAACTTCTAGCCACGCAGACTGAGGGAATAAATCTGTTCATTAAACCATTCATTTGTGGCATTTCTGCTATAGCAGCACTAAAGTCATCAACCTAGTAAAGACATACATATAATTCAAAGGAAAATAATTGACTTAATTAATCTTTCTTATTTTAGAGTAGAAGTTCTCTGTAGAAATATTTTTATTTACTTGAAAAATATAAAGCCCAAGTAGAACAAGCCAGAGAAATTGAGAGCAGTTGCTTCTGGGACTACAAAAATAAGGAGAGTATAGGCTTCTAAACCCTTCTGTAAAGGTCAATACGTTTTTTTGTTGTTGTTGTTGTTTTCCAGCTATAGTTTACTTCAACAAAATATTTCTTGAAAACTCTTTTATACAACAGTATTCACCAATATATATTTTCCATGACTCAGACATATGGAAACAAATGCTCATGGATGTGGGAAATATCTGTAAATACTACATTACACAATTCATTCATTACCTTTGGTGAAATTATTACCAGGTGTCCTCAGAAAAGCAAACGCTAGTCAGAGTAAACCTTATTTTGTTGTTTTAACGTACCCACATAGATATGGTACATAAGAAGAACTCACTGCCAATTAAAATTAGACATAGTCATAAAGTAACAAAAAAATTTGTAAGTTTTTAAAACTATGCCCCAGATCTATTCTAAACCTATGTAAATTAAGATTTCTTAGCAAAACTAGGCTATTTGAATCACCTGTAGGACCGAGTAAGGTTAAGACTTGCATAACCAACCAATTAATGCAGATGCTCTGACTTTCACATTAGGAACTCCTACTAAAATAAACCCCTGTGATCCCATCTCTCCCTTTCACTAAAATCTCACTAGACCCTTAAAAGACTATCTACCCACATAGCAATGTCACTATTAATGCAATTTGTATGTAACCTACATGTATGCAAGGCATATCTCAGAATAAGTCATAAAATGTATAAACATTCAATAAAATATTCATTGTGGTTTGATTAACTTAAGTATCAGTAACACTAATTGTTGTTGTTGTTAAGTGCCTTCAAGTCAGTTCCGACTCATAGTGACCCCAGTATAAGGGTTTCCAAGGAGCAGCTGGTGAGCTTGAACTACCGACCTTGCAGTCCATGGGTAAAACCCAAATATTATGAATGCAAATTATGTTACCAATTATAAAATATGACGCAATAGCCAAAGAAATATCCCAAGAAGTAATTTCAATAAAATCTGACCACATGCCAGTCACACATTTCTCTATCAATCATTTCATACTAAATTGAGACACCTGAACACACAATGTGTTTTGTCTTATGGTTTGTTCCCTTTTACTAATAATATATACTTAAGCAAGCATATGATTTTTTTTTTTTTAAGGTGCCCTGCATAATCATTAAGAAATAAATATCTGGGAAAAATCTCCTCTAATATTAAAAAATTGCTTTTTATAAAGAAAATTTTAGAAACAGGTTTAAAGGACATTGAAACAACCAACGCTAAAATCTTTGCAAAGAGAGCAAAACAGAAAGTATACTTTAAAAAGGTACAAATCATAAAACAACCTCTTTATAAACGCCCCCTCAGAAAGCATTCACTATAATGTCAATAAAACAAAACAAAAATTGAAAGTGGAACAGAATTTGCTTCATTCGTACTGTGTTTGTATAAATCTTTAACTTCATTATTTTTATAAAATTAGACACACCATTAAGAGAGAAAAAAAAATCTTCATAAACTCTACTTGCCTCATTAAATACCAATCATCAGAGGCCTAAACTCTACTTAAGGTTGAGTTTACAAGTTTATCTTGCATTCTTCTTTCTCTCCATTAATCCTACCCCTAGAAGGAGGTCAACTTTTTAACACTAAAGATTCAACATAATCGTTTTAATGTAATAAAAGCTCTTACTCTACCTGAAACCATTTACTTCTCTCACTGTCTCTTTTCTGCACTTTCATCATTAATAAACTGAAGTATACAACAATGCTGAAAATCAAATTTTGTAAAAATGTGCTTTTCAATGTGACAAATTTATGCTCAACACTGAATTTCAATATTCAAAATCATATTAAGTCAGAATGGCTACCTCATTTAATTAAAGGGCAGATTGGAGTAGTGTTAAAATTCCTTTAGTTTTACTAAGTGTTAGCCTTAAAAAAATTCTTTAATATGATCAATCATTATCTTCATAATTTTACAATCAAATATAACTGCATGTTGTGATACAGTACTACATCTGCAAGAATCCTGTTATTCCAGAAGCATAGGGTTTTTTTCTGTTTTGTTTCTTTACTTATTAGAACAAGCAAAGGTAGATGGCATATTTAATGTCATACATACTGTAATTTTTACTTTTTTAATTTAAAAAGAATGCAGGTAAAGTTGTTAGTGGTATTTAATATTTTTATCTCTGAAGTCAGTCGGTATTCAGTGCAGTTGTGGTCGCACCATGTTGATCACTGAGGGGTTAATGGTCATAGCTAATGTTTGGCTTAGAACCATTTAACACAGGTAGCAAAGCAACCAATCTGAGTTGAGTTACATTGATTGCACTGTTGTTTGGAAACAACAGCCTCATTCAATGTTGGATAGAAAGAAACATTGTTTCAATTATTTGGAAGAAGCTTTGTTCTGGGTAATCATAATTCCCAGTGCTAAACTAATGAATATTATAAATTGATATATAGGTATAACATTTTTGAACATTACCAAATTATCCTGTATAAGGTATGCCTTTTGCATTAGGACAAAGACTAGATTATCATTTCAAATCACACACTGATACAATAATAAGCATTCCATTCATAGCTGTGCCTGCTTTGCCTACTTATATGGTTGTTATTAGGCTCAAATTAAAAATATGTGAAGATACTTTATATGCCATAAAGTACTATAAAAGTTAAAAGTATTAAAGTTACTTTTTAATAATTTGGGGTTCATTTCAAGGAAGACTTATGCTCCATATCCCAGATGTTGTAAAATTTAATTAAATTTCACAATTAATGGAGAATATGTCTTGTTCCCTGTCTTTTTACAGTTAAGAAAAATCACTTTGGTGATTATCAGGACAAAATGCATCACAATCTCTCAGTGTTTCCTAAAATATATTTTTCTTTGTACATTATATGTTTCAGAAATCAATTTAGTAGTTTCCTACAGATAGCTTAGTCAAATCAACTGTACTTATTTTTTAAGACGATCAAACACATTCAATCATGAATTTCACTGTCACAAAGTTTAACACTGAAAACGGTAACATACAGCAGGTCTTTCAACATTTAAAACACAACTGCTTATATAATTAAAAAATCTCACATTTCCATATTAAATACATTTTAAGCCTTCAATTCAGAAAGACAACAATAAATAATCCAAGTAATGTTCTAAATAAAAAGTAATTATTATATAAATAGATGGTTATATTATATAAATATGTGGTTTATATTACAAAGACACGGTTACTAAAGTTTTTTGTTTGTTTGCGAAGAGTCAATCAAGTCTTTTGGAACATAGCTTGAATCTAAGTCAAATATTTTTCCCAACAAGAACAGTTTACCACTTAAGGAAGATCACAGCCATTTCAGTGTTAGGATATTTTGGAGTTCTAAATAAAATCGGGCACAAGGAATATCGCCAACATTAAGAAAAAACTGAATTGGTTGTATACAAATTGATCACGATTCTACTATGCTTTCTTTAAATAAAACTACTAATAAATATCATCTCTCTTCAGTCCACATTTTTATCTTTTCCTTTATACTTAAAATGGATATACAATCCAACAATCATCTGATTTGGAGAGAAGGAATAGAGAATTTAACCTTTATCAACACATACCTCTAAGTTATAGAGACTATTTTTGCTGATTACTCCATTTTAGTGAACCTTTTTGAAACCATACAGAAAATGTCAGTATACATACAAATGAGGAAAAGAAAGAAAAACAAATCAAATGATAGCTGAGAATTGAAGCTTAACAAATCTGGCCATCAGTTATCTATTTGAGTTTCTCCTTTGATGAACATTTAAAGTAGAATTTTGTTTTGCACACACTGTTATCAATTCCTTTCTTAAAGAGAATGATCAGCAGACACAATTAGTCTAATTTAGGTTGGGAATCCTGTGAACAAGCCCTGCGTCTTCACTATGCTCTGATACACTGTAGACTGCATTGCTTTAGCAATCTCAAAACGCAAATTCTTCAATAGAAGATTCAGTTTGAAGAATGGGATGCATTGTTGGAACTTTAATCTTCTCAAACAAATACATCACAAACGTACAAAAACAACAGTACAGCTTTGGGCTATGTAAAGAAGTAAGGCTATTTTTTAAATTGTATTTTAATAGCATATTCTAAAACAGCCAAATGAACATACACGAAGCTGTTCTAACTGCCAGACCTGAAACCTCCTTGAATTCATACAATACCTGCAGACATATAAAAACTAATCTAAAGACTTTAAAATTTTCAACCACTGGCCAATGGGCCAATGAATGCCAGTATTTCAGAAAGAAAAAAACAAAAATAACAAAACCCACAAACCTGAAACGGTTATGTGCAAATAAATCACTTAGGCTGTCTATCATATCTACTTTTAAAACTCCACTTGATCTTATCCACATGGAAAAGCAAGTGAATCTTTGAAGAACAGATAAAACAAATGATTATTTAAAGCCTGAGTCAATCTGTTTTAGCTTTTACATTCCTGAGAAACATAAAAGTATTAATCTTACCTTGAATAGCCATTAGAAAAAAGTGATCGACCAGAGAAGTTCAAAGTTCCCAAAGATGTCAGGTTGTCATCTCCAGATCCTTGGCACCTATTCCAATTTTCTGAACCAACAGGAATTGGCGGAATGACATTAAAAATAGGCTTCTGATCCTGCTGTTGAGAAAGGGATGCTGTATTCATGTCATAGTGGTACATCTGTCCCCCGGAAGTACTCACACCATGAACTGAAATGGCAGACATCTTATTACCAATAATATTTGCTCCAGAAAAGGTTGACTGACAGTAAACTGGGCCCAGTTTCTCCTGCTTAATTACCCCAGGAGTGCAGAGTTCAATGAAATCTTCTTTTTCTGTTTTCACTTGGGGCACTGGCACGCTGTTGGAGCTGGGTGAGATAAGATCTCCATTATCCTTAATTTTAAGTTTAGTGTCCGGTAAAATGAGAGGCTTGCAGTCCTCATTCACATTTCCTTCTAAAAGGAATGGATCATCCTCTGCTGCCAAAGGAGAAAGCAAATAGTTATCATCTATTAGGAGGTCTGATCTCCAAGGGCTTTCACTTGTTTCTTTACCTGGAGACCCAGAAGAAAACCCCAAATCCTGCAAAATGTCAAAAGTGCTTTGGTCTGTGGTATACAACTTCACATTGCCACTCTTGGTGCCAGTCTGGCCCTTCAAATTTTGCTGTTCTGAAGACACATCAGAGCGAGTTTTTGGAAATTCCTTTTCTTTAGGGGCAGCAGAAGCAGCAGAGGATGCGGAACTCTTGGGGTTTTCTGGAACACTGGTCGACTTATTAAGGTTTGCGATGCTTTCTTCCAAAAGCTGAAAGTCTGTTTCCCCAGAGGAAAGGCTGATTTGGCCCTGCTGTGGGAATCCCAAGTCATTTCCCATCACTTTTGTTTCTGTCTCTCCCATATACAATCCCATTGAGAGTGAAACTGCTTTGGACAGATCTGGCTGCTGCGCATTGCCTTTTGGAAAATCAACCAAAACTCTTTGCTGCTTGGAGTCTGACTGTGAAGCAGCAGCCAGTGAGGGTGAAGATACAGGAACCTTCGCAGTAGCTCCTCCCCTTAAGGTTTTATAGAAGTCCATCACATTTCCTCTCCCCCGACCAAGCACACTGCTGGGAGTTTCTTCTCTACTTTGGGTTTTTAATGATTCTTTGGAGTCCATCAGTGAATATCAGCTATAAAAAAAATAGGGGGGGGCCATAAATAATAAGCATAAAGCCATATTAATGATTTGAACCAATTAATAAGAGACAGCCCATTAAATCCTTCTTTCAGTTAACTCAGAATTGAATTCCTTGTTAGCAGAATAGTTTCCTATCTTCCAAAATAAAAAGTCATCTCCTTTGCTCTCATTCAATATATTACAGTTTAAAAAGCACAATGCAGTCCATTTGCACAGCTGTGGACAAAATTGTACGGACCAAGCTCTAAGCTCAACTGGAGACTCCTGGGTACCTAACAACAATAAGCTCCCCTATTCACCTGGCCATTCACAGAATGTTAATCATAGATAATAAACTCAGTACAATTGATTATTCTAGAAGCTCAAGTTGATGTCAATGTATTTAATTTCAAAATGAAAAGTGTGAACATTAAAATTCCTACCCCTTTTCCCTCAAGGTTGTTTGATTTCTGAGAACCAATACAAATTGATAAAAACTGTGCTAGCATTCTCTATCCATAATTACTCCCAAATTCCTCTCCTACCAGTTAGCACCACATGCAAACCTTTTAGTATAATCTACTGGTGAACCATGTACATTCTATTTGCAAAATAAACAACAATGCTGATCTGCTCATCTTCCAATTGCCTGAAAAAGCCCTCATTTTTAATCCATATTTTTGACTGGATGTGGCTGCCTGTCTCCAAATTTTGGACATATGAAATGAAATGTGTTGTAAATAGGACAACCAAAACTTAAGTTTCAGTATGGCATGGTAGAGTGTGTGGTAGCTTCTCATTACAATTTTAGCTTATTTAAATATTAATGTATCTAAATACAGCTGTCTCAATCCTTATAGCTCACAATAAATCTATATTAGACTACATTTTAACTGCTTAAAACTCTCAAAATGAAATGCAATCTTAGCTCTAAATTAAGATCTTTAGCTTTCCAAATAACAAAGTATTGAAAAATAGATATAACAAAAAGCTGTTAAATCACTTTTATATTCAAACCAAGGTAAGGCAGCACCCAATAAAAATGCTCAGAATAACTTTCTCCACATTCTAAACTTTCACCTATCACAATTTTGACCCTACCTCAAGAGGTTTAAGTTACCTACATACGGCTAGTAATTTTAAAGAGGTGGACACATACTTGGTGAAGCACATTTGGGCATTATAGAAAAATCCCATCCAGTAAGGAAATTTCTCCTTCACAGAGATGTTAAAAAGCATAAACTTCATTGACCCTACAGGAAAGGGTGTTAGTGCGATGAGGGTGGAGAGTAGAGTGGCAGGGTTATGCTAGGAAAGGATAAACTCCTCACCTCCTAGCCCCTCAGCCCTTTTTATCTGATAAGGATCTCTAAACACTAATGAATTTCAACGCCGCTTTTTTGACAGCTGCCTTCAATTCTGAAACCAAAACAATACTTGACACTAAAACGAAAGGATCCCTCCAGCGACATTATCCCTAGTTTAAACTGCAAATAGCCCCGTCACATTCATCGGCCATCAAGAACCATGCCAAAGGGATCTTAAACGGTATTAAAAGGCAGCAGTTACCAAGTCTGCAACTCCAAACCTCAAAACCGCACCACAAAACTACCCCGGGTAAGGGGAGGGTCTTGGTCCAACAGGGGCCACTAGAAATGCCAGGCACTACACGATGTCAAGCGCCTAAGAACCACCCGATTCGGGAGAGAGTTAAAGTGCGAGGTAACAGGAGCAATGTGTCCGGACCTGTTGAGCTGTCTCTCCGACACGCCCACTAGTACCAGATAACGCCAGCCCCGGCCCCCGGCTCCGAGCTGCGGACTGTCAGCCCCCTGCGTGTTTACACTCACTCGCGCACACACGCCAGGCAGAAGGGAGACGCGTCGGAGCCGCTGGGGCGCACTAGGGTGGAGTGGGAAGATTCGGGCCAACAAAATTCAGATCCGGCTTAGTGTTCACCCTAAAAATGGGTGTCTGGGCGGCCCCCTAGTAGGGAAAAGAAAAGCGGGGAGGGAAAGAAGGCCAAGTTTCCGTGCCAAGGAATTAGAGGTTTGGAAACCGGGGCAGCTCGACGAGGCGCCTCCGCAAGCAGGCAGAGCCCAGGGACGGCGGCAGAGGGAGAGGAAGAGGCCGGCGCTGTCACCCGCGCTCTGCCCTTTCGTCATCGTCACCCGGCCCGAGCCAGCCCCCACCCTCACTCCCAGAGGATAATAAAAGTTTGCGGGCTCACGCGGCGGCCCCCCAAGTCGGTCTCCTAGCCTCGGCCGCCCCTCGAGGCAGCAAGAGCCCGCACGGGCCCCAGCCCCCACCTCATCTCTTACCTCCAAGAGGCTCCGCTTCGCTCGCCACCGTCCGCAGCGCCCACCGCAGTCGGTATCAACAACTTAGCGTGTGAAAGCCAGAGGAGGAGGAGGGAAATATATTTTTTTTCCGAAAAAAAGGAAGTAAACAGCTGCCCCCTTCTCCATGGGGGGAGTGGTGTCAGAGTGAACCCCTAAGTAAGAACGTCTCCCTTTCCCTGGCTGACAAGGCAGCCCTCTGCCCCTCTCCAGTCAACGCAGGTCCGGGCTGTCGGGCGCATGTCCCCGTCCCCGCGTCCGTCCACTTCGGCCGCTCCGGCTGTGGCGTCTCCTTCCACCTACTAAAATCTGTCCCCGACGGGCGGGCGCTGACTCGGGCTCCAGTCACAGACTCGAGCTCGCAAAATGGAGGAGGAGGAGGAGGAGGGGAAGGAGCGCGGACTCGCGAAAGGGCCGCCCGGCCACAGAGAACGAGCGGGACCGAGCCGGGGGCGGGAGGAGGCGGCGCCACGGCGCGCACACACTCGCACACACGCGCTCCCACTCCACCCCCGGCCTCTCCCCGCCCGAGGGGCCGCGCGGTAGCGGGGAACGGTGCAACCTGTTGGCGACGCTCGGCAACTGCAGGGACAGCCCAAGCCCCCGCCCTTACGCCCTCCGGCGCGGGCCCAGTCACCCGGCCCCCGACGGCGCCGGCTCGCCCGCGCCCCCCGGTGTTTCCCCGCCACAGTGACCCAGCGCTCCTCGCCCACCCCCACAGGAAAAATAAAATGAGACCGTGGTGAGGGCCGACCCGGGCTCTCTAGGGCGGCCTTAGGAGGGGAGCCGAGTTTCTCTAGTTTCTCTTCTCGCAGCCTCTTTCCCGCCCCCGCCCCACTCCCGACCCACTCCGGAGCGCCTCTCCTTCGGCGGCCACTGCCAGCAACGCCCCGGAGAGTGACAGCAGGCAGGTTAGGGAAGCCTAGGCATGCCCTCAGCAGAACCGCGAGGGTGGTCTGCGGCGCCGCCCCCGGACCGTGTTGCAAGTAGTGTGTCATTTCGCACGGGGCTAAGGGGCTACACTGAACATTGCCGCAGAGTCTCAAGCGCGCTCGGGCGGAGCGGCCCGACACGCCCTCTGGGGAGCAGTGAAGGAGGGGAGGGCAGAGGAGGGGGTCAGCGCATACGTACTCTGGGCCCGAGGGAGTCGCGTGCCGGCAGGTTTCCCACCCCCGCATCGTCTGGGCGGCCCAGTCTGCAGCCGCCGCCGCGCTCTTGCACCCGGGAGAGAAGTTGCACAGCCTAACTCACCCTCCCCCGCGCCCCGGCCGTCCCCCACCCTCTTCCCCGAGTCTGCGAGGCGGCGGCGGCAGAAGGAGGCGCCGCCTGCCAAGTTCAACCCCCACCCCACCCTCCCTCTCTTGCGCGCTCACACTTAAAGGAAGTTGCACGCCAAATGCAAAACCTCTGGCGAGCTGGCTTTACACTTAAAAAAAAAATTTTTTTCCCCTTTTTTTAAAGGAAAGCAGGGGGTGGTAAGCCTAAGAGCAAGTTGCAAGCAAAATACTAAGTTGCTTGCGAAGCACACCCCCACCCCAGCTCCGTGACCTCTTCTCCCACCCCATACAGGGCCGGTGTCCAAGTTCCCTGTGGAGGCTCCTCCCCCGAATCCTGACATTCGCTGCACTCTGCTCAACGTGTTGCCCACCCCTTCTTGTTCATAGGACCCCTAACCCTCCAAATAAAACAAAACACACGCAGCTTTAAAATGTCAGCATTAAACTCCCTCCAGCTGTTCCCGTTACGCGTCTCCTGCTCAGAGCGAGGGAAACACGTGGCCCGTCCCCGAGGAGAGGGGCGTGGGGTGAGGGGTGTCCACGCGGGAGGTCTCCGCCCCAGTCCCAGCCCCCTCCTCGCTGCGTCCTGAGGGCTTTTGATGTGCCCGACCGAGCTCTTACCTTGTGTAGAACATAGTATCATTGTTGTGACTCCGGGGAAGGTTGTTCTGTGTTGCTTTAGCATTTGGGGAGGTAACTTTTCAACCCCCACAGGTGACAGCACTTGCCGGCTACTGACCGAGACGCACGCTGCCGCAGCTTCACCTAGTCCCAACAAAACCCTCGTCTGTAACCGCTGTCTCCTCTCAGGTCGCCCTCTGACTCTGGGGGCTGCCAAGCCTCTGCTCTGACATCTTGAAGAGGATTGGAGAAGCGCGCGCCGGAAGCCGTCTGCCGCCATCTTGGTAAAGGAGCGTGACGCTCTCCAGAACTCTTGTTCACCATCTTGGCAAAGGCTCTAGATCGCGGCCTGCCTAAGTCGTCCTCACTAGCTCTGAAAGTTCAACGCTGGCCTATGTCTTACTTGATGTGAAAGTTACAGACTTTTAGAAAGCCGCCTGTCGGGAGACAATCTGTGACAGTCTCTTCCAGATGATACTGGTACTGCCATTTTGGTAAAGTAAGCGATGCTTGCCGCCTCTAAAGAGTACCAAAGCTTCTGAGAACTAGAACCCTCAACTAGTAGAAGTTGCATGAACTCTGTTAACAGAACTCCTTTGGGCATCCAGAAGCGATGACTCCCATTCTCACTTCTTTTCTTTCATCACTCACAAGTCAATTAAATAGAGGCTCTTGCCTTGGTTGCTCATCTTGAACGCTTAAGTATCTGCTGGTTGTTGGTGGTTGTGTGCCACCAAGTAAGTTCTGACTCATAGCCACCCTGATAGGGTTCTCGAGGCTGTAAATCTTTAGGGAAGCAGAAAGCATCTTTCTCAGAGGAGTGACTGGTAGATTAGAAATCTACTGGATGGTATTTTGTCCACTAACAAGTTTTTCAACTTCAAAGTTTCAAGTACTACAATCATATATTTCTTGGATTCAGTCCTAAACTACCAACAGTTTCACGGGGTGGGGGGGGAAATCAAGAAACAACCCTACAATAATATTTTAAGTATATTTTAAAAGCAGTTAAGCTCATGCTAATATTTTTGCACATCTGTTTAACAGTTATATATCTCTAACATATATAACTAGCTTATATCGCTTAGTATAACTTTTCATATTTATGATATATATAAACCGATCATAAAAGTTCCCTAATAGAACACCTGTCCCCATACCACAAACCTGTTTCATAGTTGAATCTCTTCTCCAAGAAAGGATCCGTACTTACATCTCAAACCTATTTGAATTCTAGATGTGGGGTACTCCTGGCTTTAAAATACTTTTTAAAATTTTTTTACAAGATTCCCCAGTTAACTTACTCCTTGTGCATTTTTATTTTTTTATTTTTTTATTTTTTTTTGCAGGTCCATCAGATCTTAAAAATGTGGAAAACTACTCAGTTTTAAATGGGAAAAAAATGTCACTGAAAACACTTTTTAAATTTCCCAAAATTCTTCCTCAATGGTCTAAATATGCTTGGCTTTGAATATGGTAGAAAAGAATTCTCATATTTTAGTCTTTCATATTCACTTGAAAATCTGCATAGACTGTGAATTAATTCAATGCCTGCTTTCAGAATAATGGCAATAACTAGAACAATTTATGGTTACTTTGTCTCTCATACTTCAGACATAGTATCAAGAGGGACAGTCCCTGGAGAGGATATCATGCTAGGTCAAGTGGAGGGTCTTCAAAAAAGAGGAAGCCTCCAAGGAGATGGATTGACACAGTGGCAGCAGCAATGGACCTGGCAACTTTCATTCGGTTGCGCATAAGATCGCTATGAGTTGGAACAGACTCAACAGCACCTAGTAACAACGTCAACAATATATTACTAACATTTATTGATTCTCTGCTATATGCTTTCGTTAGCAAAAAATGAATGAGATAGGTATTATCATTCCCATTTTTTCAAGATTAGGAAACGGGGCCTTACCAGAGGTTGACTGGCCCAGTCACATACCACCTAAATGCTGTTGTTGTTGGTTGCTTTTAAGTGTCAATTCTGATTCATACCAACCCTCTGTACAACAGAACAAAACACGCACTTGCCAGTCCTGCACCATCCTCATGCACAAGTGTAATGTTTGGGCCCATTGTTAGAATTACTGTGTCAGTCCATCTTATTGAAGAGCTTTCTCTTTTTCCTAACCAAGCATCCTGTTTTCCAGGAATTGTTCCCTCCTGATAACATGTCCAAACTGCAGCATCTTGCCATCCTTGTTTGCAAGTCTTGCCATTCTTGCTTCTAAGGAGCATTCTGGCTCTACTTCTTCCAAGACAGATTTGTTTTTCTTCTAACAGTCCATGACACTTTCAGTATTCTTCACCAGCACCATAATTAAAATGCATTGATTGTTCTCTGGCCTCCCTTATTCATTGTCTAGTTTTCACATGTATACAAGGCAATTAAAAATAGCATGGCTCTAGTTAGGCTCTCTTTAGTCCTCAAAGTGCCATCTTTAAATACTTTAAAGAGGCCTTTTGCAACAGATTTGTCCAGTGTGATACTTCCTTTGATTTCTTGACTACTGCTTCCATAAACATTGATTGTGGATCCAAGTAAATCTAAATACTCAGCAACTACAATATTTCCAACATTTACGTTGTTTATTGGTTCAGTTGTGAGAATGTTTGTCTTCTTGATATTGAATTGCAATCCATATTGAAGGCTGTATTTGCTGATGTTCATCAGCAAGTGTTTCAAGTCCTCTTCACTTGCAGCAAGCAAGATTATTTCATCTACATATTGCAGATTGGTAATTAGTCTTCCTCCAATTGTGATGCTGACTTCTTCATTTCTCTTCTCAGATTATTTGCTCAGTTTATAGATTAAGTAAGTATGATGAAAGAATACAACCCTGACACACACCTTTCCTGATTTTAAATCACACCGCATCCCCTTGTTCTGTTCTAACAACTGCTTCTTGTTCTATGTACAGGTTCCACTGAGTACAATTAAGTGTTGTGAAATTCCCATTCTTCTCAATGTTATCCATATTTTGTCATGATCCATACACAGTTGAATGCCTTGCATTGTCAATAAAACACAAGTAAACATCTTCCTAATATTCTTTGCTTTTAGCCAAGATGCATCTGACATCAGCAATAATACCCCTGGTTCCACATCCTCTTCTGAATCCAGCTTGAATTTTTGGCAGTTCTCTGTCAATGTACTGCTGCGACCATTTTTAAATTAGCTTCAGCAAACCTTTGCTGTGCTGCATGTAATATTAATAATGTTATTGGTGTGTGCTGTCAAGTTGATTCCAACTCATAGGGACTCTTTGTAGTTTCCAAGAACACCTTGTTGACTGTGTGGTTGCAAGTCCAGTGCTTATCTTGCAGCACCACACCAGGGCTGTATATTAATGATATTTTAGAATAATTCTTGCATTCTGTTGGGTCACCTTTCTTTGGAATGGGCGCAAATATGGATCTCTTCAAGTCAGTTGGCCAAGTAGCTCTCTTCCAAATTTTTTGGCATAGACTAGTGAATGCTTCTAGCACTATATCAGTTTTGGGGTTGTTTTTTGGAGTTTTTAAAAAGTTTTTATTGTGAATTGAGTGAAAGTTTACCGGGCAGATCATCAGTTTTACATTTAACAAATCATATACTTTGTTTCATTACAGTGATTATAATCCCTTCCATGTACCATCAGTTAACAGTATTTCTCTCTATTCATTTAGCTCCTTTTTTTTAAAACACTCAGGCATATATAATAATTTAAACCACCAAACGGCACATTCTGCAAGGCTGCTTCCTGACTGCTGGTTCTCAGTCCCTCTGTTTCCAAGAATCTAGAGTCCTCAGCTGCTCCCTCTCTCCATGTCCCCATCTCTGCCTCACACTGTATCAGTTTTATTGGAACATTTCAATTTGTATTCCATCAATTCCTAGAGCCTTGTTTTTCCCTAATGCCTTCAGTACAGCTTGGACTTTTTTCTCTAATATCATTGTTTCTTGATCATATACTACCTCCTGAAATGGTTAAATGTTGACCAATGCTTTTTAGTACAATGACTTTATATATATCTTCCATCTTCTTTTCATGCTTCCTGCATCATCCAATATTTTGCTTATAAAATTCAATATTCCAAGCAAGGCTTGCATTTTTTCTACAGTTCTTTCAGCTTGAGAACGACAGAGCATGTTCTCTCCTTTTGGTTTCTCTCCTTCTATATCTTTGTACATTTCATGATAAAATTTTATTTTTTTTGAGTTGTCCTTTTCTGTTGAGTTGACATTTTCTGTTCAGCTCCTTTACTTCATCATTTCTTCCAGTCACTTTAGCTACTGGAAGTGGCACTGAGAGTTAATGCAATGGACTGCAAAGTCGGTTTGAACCACAATGTCAGCAGTTCAAGCTCACCAGCCACTCCTCAGAAACCCTATACAGGGTTGCTATGAGTCAGAACTGACTCAATGGCACTTAACAACAACAAGTAATGTTCAGGAGCATGTTTCTGAGTCTCTTCTGACATCCACTTTGGTCTTTTCTTTCTCTAGTGTCTTTTTAAAGACCTTTTGCTTTTTTCACTTATGGTATCATTGATGTCATTCCACATCTCTGGTCTTCAGTCCAGTGCATCAAATCTATTTTTAAGATGGTTTCTAAACTCACATGGGATATACTAAAGATTGTGTTTTGGCTCTTCTGAATTTGTTTTAATTTTCAGCTTCAGCCTGAACTTGCACAACATGAGCTTGCATCTGTTCCGCAGTTGGTCCCTGGCCTATTTTTGGCTGGTGATATTGAACTTCTCCATAGTGTTTTACCACAGATACAGTTAATTGGATTCCTGTGTATTCCATCTAGCTAGGTCCACATGTGTCATTTGTTGAATAAAGGTAGACTTGCTCTTGTTGGTATTAATTGCCAAAAGAGCTCTGGTAGTGTAGTGGTTACAAATTGGACTGCAAACCTCAAGGTCAGCAGTTCAAAGCTACTAGCTATAACATAGAGAAAGATGAGGCTTTCTCCTCCCGTAAAGATTTACAGCCTTGGAAACCCTGTACAGGGTTGCTATGAGTTGAAACTGACTCCATGGCACATCACCATCTCCATAGGGTCAGCTTAAACAGCCAACCTTGTGGTTTTCAGTCCAATGCTTATCCTATAGCACCACACCAGGACTCCACAAAAGTAGAATTTTTTGTTGTTT